TCTTTAGTTGGACAATTTTGCTATTAATACGATTAACTGTAAAAAACAAGGCTAACAACTCTGGATGCAAAAATTGATTCAGGGTGAAAATGCTGTTCCCCCCTTAAAAGTCACATCCACTTACCCTCGATGAATATAACTGAGCCCCAGTGCACGTTCGCATGGGCCCGAGATGGCCAATTCGTCACGAATTAAAAAAAAAAGCCTACAAAAAGGAATTCTATCAAATAAGATAGAATTTCGATGTGATTTCTTGTGTTAAAATACTCATCTTCCGAGTGTTCTCTGAAAGCCAAGAAAATTACCAATCGATTTGGCGCCGCATAACTTTCCTATTGTTTTTGACTTGGATCATTGCACTTCACAGTTTCTTGCTTAAGTTGTTGGTTTAAGTGAAAATATATTCGGGCGGTACCAAATGTTACGAGAGAAATTTCAGATCTAATATTATTTAGGGCTTGTTGATGTCTCTGCATGGCTTTCAATAAATTATTCATACCATATAAACCAGAGCTGTTCCAAATACTTTTCATTTGAAACTGATACCCAGGGCCAACAATATAATCTTAAAATCTTTTTACTACCACGTTACCAGTCCGCTTTTTTTATTGCTCCGTATTAAAATGCCGTACACACCTTTTCGTTTGTGTCTGCATATGTATTAAATCAGGAGTACGCCGGACTCGCGAAAGCTTCTAAAATACAAGCCCGATTGTGGACTGTTGCCTCCTCGCCTCTCGTGCTTGCCATGTTTACTGCTCTTGGCCTTGGTTGACGCTTGGAAACGCTGGGAATGAACTTCTCAGATGCATTCCCTTTACAAAGCGACTGGTAAGGCACGCAACTTTAACATATACGTACTACCTAGGATAAATCCAATTCTTGGTAGAACTGCAATCGCAAAGCGTATAAAACGATATTTCACAAATTAAGTTAAACAATTACTTACGAATCTACCAATATTTTTGACCCAGCAGGTGAACTATGCCGCTATTATTGAAGAAAAAAATACTTTTCAAAGGGAACGTTCCTTAGACATGGCAAGAAGCGGCCTAACGAGTTCTGCAAGCCACCGCAGGATCGCAAATTATCGGCAGTTTTTTAACTGCGGCAGATAGCAATATGAGACGAAGAAAGGACGAATATGAGATGAAGGCGAATACATAGGAATTAGCAATGGGCGCTCATTGCCTCTATTAGAGAAAATTATTTATTATATACACGGAAAAATATAAAAATGATTTATTTGTAATTCAAAAAATATTACGGAATGGCACATTCCATTTACTGACCACATCTGGACCTAGTGCATCTATCTCAATGGTTTTATAAAAGAAAAGTTCGCGTGGGTTCAAGTAGCCCATATACCAAGTACACCCAATTTTTAGAAAAAGGCTGTGCGCTTTGTGTTACAGGTATCTCATCAAATTACTCTCGTGCATTTTACATTAAGCTGTTAGATGGATAGAAAAAATATAAACTCATTTTGCTTAGTTTTTCGTGGATTAATTTAGAAAAAACTACGAAAGAATTGAAAATTGGGTCCAAGTAGCCCGTGTTTGCGATACATATACGATGCGCATTATAGCATTACAATATTCTGCGTAAGCAGTATGTGAGAAAGTAAAATAATTTAAAATTACTGAATAAGACGATCCACCAGCTACGGAGGCGGCCGCGCCGGCGGCGGCGGCTGTAGCGCGATGTTGCCAGCGTTGCTTTAAAGCTTAAAGGACGCATGTTTATTTCACAACGTAAAAAGCGTTGAAAACAAATGCAAATAGGTCGCCAAATTTATAATAAGCAATTATTGAATACTATAGTATTGTAATAATCTCCAAATGTGCTCATTTTTACACGAATTACGTTACTCCTTGCCTGAACATGTAATGCTAAATGCTCTCCATACCAATGGCGGCTGGTGCCCCCAAAAGATTGGATATTGCACCTCCATCAAATGACGAAAATTTAATATCCAAACTTCAAAATATGAATATACAAGAAAAATATAAACAATTCAAATTAATTAAAACTAAGGAAAATAAAAGTCTATATTGAAACATTACTTGCATAATTTTATGCTATGTGTTCGTGTCAGGAAAATACACCTCTCGCGCACGTGGTTCCGTCTTTCATTTCCTCAGGGCACTTGAATTCGACTCCAGCACATTGCAACAAGCACTATTGCTTCGATACGTTTCACACAATAAAATTATTTTATTTCGAAAATTTCACTACCTTTGTAAAAATAACAAAAAAACACTCGTCTCTCACGACGTCAATATTTACTTTGACACCAATTTGTTCACATTATTGCATTTGTGACATGTGGTTTAAATTATATCTTATAAAGTTTCTAGAAAAGTCAAAAGTTTTCTGTGAAAATGAGCTCAAAATTCCGCATTTACACAAACGATAAAACGTAATTTTCTAAAAAGAGGCTTCAATTTTTTTCTTCAAATGCTTCGTATTGATCGTGCAAATTGCATTAGAATGACAT